CCCAGCCGAGCTCCCGAGCTCCTTCTCCCCTGCTTCCCAGACCGAAACTACCACTCTCTTCCAGCCCTGCCTCCTAGCCAGGGCTCCACCCCGCCTTCTTCCCATTGTTCCACTCCCTGGGAGATAACTGGTCCGACAGGTTCGGAGCCCCCTTGCATAATGACTCATCCCCTGCCCTGCTGGGCCCTGCTGCAGACAGGGGAGGTCACCCACAGCCCACTGCCCAGCACAGCAACCAGCAAGGTACCTCCCATTACGTCACAGGGGGTGAAACACGGGTAGAGTCCCCAGACGCGGAGAGACATCAGCCTGCAGGCCCCGTCTCCCCCCATGCCAGGGGGCACCTGCATTCTGGCCAGAACTGCAAGACTGGGAAGAGGGGATTATGAACAGCAATTTCTTTGGCCTTGCTGGGCCTTTGTCCTCCGACCTAGGAAATGCAGGTGCTGCTCTGTAGCCAATAGTCGCTCAGCAGGGAGACGGGGCAGAAGCAGGTTGCCTGCATCTGGATGGGGGGAGGCAACCTCTGGGCCCAAACCCAACAGCTGGATTCTTGTCGGGCAGGAAGCCCTCCAGCTGTTGGAGCCCAATGAGAAGGATTTGCCCTCGTTGGTCTTGGGTGGCAATGAGGACACAACACAGACGCCGGATTCAGCTCCCAGCCCCACCAATAAGACAGATACATTCAAGCTGTGGACAAAAAATCCCCTCCCACCCCAAGGTGAGAGCTTAGCCGGAATGCTAAGGAATGGATCCCTCGTCACGCACTGTCAGGCAGCCCCGCTCTCATGTCAGGATCCTGCCCACAAGCATCCTTAAACAAGGTCCACTGGGGCTAGTGGAAAGACCCCTCCCCCACTGATTTCCGTGGGCTTTGCATTGGGCCCCCAAACCTACCCGTGGACTGTTCACGCTTCTCTCTGTCCCCCTCGCAGCCCCACTCCTGCCACGCCTACTTCCTCTCTGCCTTTGCACACCCGGTCCACGGTGGGTGCAAGAGCCTTCTCCTCTGCAACCCGCCCAGCCTGGGCCAGCCTCGCTCCAGCTCCTGCGCGGTTTCATTTCCGAACTCAGAGGCCACCTTCCATCGATTTTCTCATTTGCTCAAGCCCCCGGTTCTCCCTGGCTGGTATGTGCGATGTAATCCTGCCGCTGTACTATTTACACCCTCCCTGCAAGGATTCTGGCGAATGCCTTTTGGAAGAAGGCCGTGACAATACAAGGAAATTGCCCAGTCATGCTAATCCAGTCAAGACTCGTTCCTAGAGCACGGAAGCCCTGCGCTCCACACACCTTGCTTGTCCGATTTCGTTGCAAGTAGATTATAGGGTCCTAAAAAAACCCCAAGTTACACAAAAAGCTTCGCTGTACAAATGAATCGGTCCGGCAGGTTTTCAGGGTTCTGTATACAGAAGCAATTAGCCTACCAAACCTGTGGACATGTGAGCCTAGCTGTATGGGACATACCCATCAGGTGTTGGGCTTAAAAAAACCCCTTTGTTACTTTCCCACCGCTACAAGCAAGTGGGTCCTTTTAAACAGAGTCTTTTCTAGCGCTCAAGTTATTCAATGACAAAAGGTGCCTTTTAAAAACACGAGGGCATACTGTACAGCCAGTCAGGTTATTGTTAAACATCCAGCCCTGCAATGACTGAGCCCCTGAGATCGCTGGACACAGCATGCCCCATGGCCGGAGGGGGCGGGGGGGTTGGGGGCATCACTAATAACTCCAATCCAAAGCAATCAGAGGCACACGAGAGTGGTTATACTCAGCCCCAGCTGTTTTCCAAACAGCCTTCCGTGTTCCAGGGTTTGTGCTGGGTTTTGTTTTCCCTCCCTAAATATTGTAACTCTCCCTTCCTTTTAACATTTAAGAGGAAACAAGTTTAATATTCATGGCTGTTAATAGAGAAGGCCCATTATTACTGGCCTATTGTTCTGGGCAATACACAATGCTGCGTGGTTATACTCAGCCCCAGCTGTTTTCCAAACAGCCTTCCGTGTTCCAGGGTTTGTGCTGGGTTTTGTTTTCCCTCCCTAAATATTGTAACTCTCCCTTCCTTTTAACATTTAAGAGGAAACAAGTTTAATATTCATGGCTGTTAATAGAGAAGGCCCATTATTACTGGCCTATTGT